GAAAACTGCTTAGAGGCTCCAAACTCTTTGAGGGGGGTGTCTGATGGTGTTTGAAGTTTGCAAATACATTTCCTGGAAGAGGTGTGAGTACTGCTGGAACTGTAGGAAAAGCAGCACTTGTGGGCAGTGCTTGTGAAACCTGCTCTCCTGGCACAGATCCAGTGAAGCTGTGTTCTGCTGGACAAACAGGAGTTGAGGGGATGTTGTCCAGGGCTGTGGGGGTCCTGGGGACTGCTGACACTCTTTTTGTCACCTTGCAAAGTGGTGGCTGGGAAATGGAGGTCCCTGGAGGGGAGGTGAGTCTGGGAGGCTGTTTCACACTGGCTCTGCTCTAAATAAAGCACCGTGGCCTAGTGGAAGGTGTCCCTGCCCATGCCAGGGGTTGGGAGTGAGGTGGGCTTTGAGGTCCCTTCCAGCCCAAGCTGTTCCATCACCCTGTATAAAGATGCAGTAAATCTCCCTGTGGTCACACTGAATTGTTTCCAGGCACTTCTAAGCCTCTTGCTTCCCTCCTCTTTTCGTGTATGGATCCTGTACTGGCAGTATTTTATAAACAAACCCTGAGAAGCAAAGGCAGCTTCCCCCACCCTGGTTAAAGCGCAGTATCTGTTGTCAAAGGAGAGATTTAATCGATGGAGCTCTGAGAGAGGCTGTGCCTCCCTTCACGTTGCTGTGTTTGTGTAAACCCAAGGCTGTTTGCTTCTAAATGGAGCCAGGAAGGTAATTTTGGGGAAAAGAAGAACGATCTCGTTGTAATCGATCTGTGCCAAGGCAGAGGGATCAGAGGTGGCACGTTTTGGAAGGTGGTGGTGGTGCTCCCATGGCTTTTGGAGAGCAAACCCCATGGTGGGGTGCTGCTAGAGCAGAGCCAGGATGTGGAAGGCCTTCCAACGTGTGCTCCAGGGGATGCTGGCAGCAGTGCTGTTGCTGTCAGGGAGAGCCGGGGCACCAGAGCTCCTGGTCCCCAGTAACCTGCCTGAGTCAGCCTGAAAGCCCAGCCCCAGGCCAAGATTCTTATCGGGGCTGGAGAGCAATTAAAGCTCTGAGAAATGGAGCTCTGTAAAGAAAGCTCTGTGGTGACTGTCAGTGGTTGCTGCACATCTGGACTTGTGATGGCACAGGAGCACATCTGGAAGAGGCTGGGAGGAGAAGGGTGAACATTCATGCTGCCACAGAATCACAGAACCATAAGGGGTTTGAAGGGACCTTAAAGATCACCTTATTCTAGCCCCCTGCACCTTCCACTGTCCCAGGTTGCTCCAAACCCATCCAGCCTGGTACTGAACAGTGCTAGCAATGCATCCACAAGATCCCTGGGCAGCCTGTGCCAGTGTCTCACCACCCTCACAGTGAAACATTCTTCCTGATACCTAAACTCCCACTCTCTTCAGTGTGAACCCATTATTCCTTGTCCCTTTGCTGCAGTTCCTGATGCAGAGTCCCTCTTCAGCTTGCTCAGAGCCCCTTCAGATAATGGAATGTTGCTTTGAGGTAACCAACCACTCAACCTTCTCTTCTCCAGGATGGACAGCCCCAGCTTTCTCAGTCTGTCTTTGTAGGGGAGCTGCTCCAGGCCTCCTATCAACAAATCATTATTGGGGCAGAACTATAAGATTCTTATGTAAAAAAACCCAAACAACAAAAAAACAAACAAACAAGAAAAAAACAACAAAAAAAACCCAAAAAAAACCACCCACCAAACCAAAAACAAAAACAAAGCTTTCTGTTGGGGTAAGAGAAGATCTGGAATTACTTTAAATCCAGGGAAGGTGCCTTGCCAGGCTTGGTGGTTTGCTGAGGCTCCAAACGAGGGAGAAATGAGGTGCTGCAACCCCTCAGTTTGTCCTGCAGGAACAGAGGCCCGTGTGGGGCTGTGACAAGGAAGTGACAGCACTCTCAGACCGTGGCCACCCTCTTACCCAGGGATGTGATGAGGGTACAGCTGCTGATGCACCAGCCCCCGTGGTTTGGGGAGCCTGTGCTCTCAGGTGTGCCCTGCTAGAAGCAAGCTGAAATAAACAGGCATTAAGTGGCTCCTTGTGCTCCTGTTCCTGAGATTTTTAAAATCCAGCAGTGACCAGACTCTGAAAATTCTCCTGCAAGGCAGGAAGCCTGGTGCTGCCAGTGCTGGTTAAAAGATGTTTGACAAACCTGCTGGTTTGAGCCCAGTTCTGCCGGGCACTCCCTGCGGTGCCACCTGTGGCTGCTCTCCCTTGTGCAGCCCCTCCTTTGCCCAGTGCCCAGGGACTGCCAGGCCCGTTCCCGTGGCCATCCTGGGGCTGGTGGCATGCTCTGGCTGGCTGTGCCCTGAGGTGCACCCCAGGATCCAGCAGGGAGCCTTGCTGGGACCGTGTGGCCATGGCAGCGGGCTGGGGGTGCCTCCTGTGTGCGGGGTGGCAGCGGGCACGTGGCCCCGGGCCAGTCCCTGCCCCTGATGTCCTCTGCAGTGATGCTCGGGGTGGACTCGCTGTTCCTCGGGACAGAGGTGATCGCCCTTGTCCTGGGAGGCACTGGAGCAGAAGTTAAACAAACTTGATTTGTTTTTCTTTTTAATCTTTTTTTTTTTTTCTAAATGAGATAATTTGCTTGGAAAACCCTCTAGAGCTCCCGATAGCCGAGATATAGAGAGAGACAGCGTTTCACTTCTTTTAATTTAAGGAGTGTTTTCCTTGAGATGGTGGCAAAAGGACAAATTTACACAAGAATTTTTGCAGGTGGAGGCCTGGTGTTGATCTGAATGGAGATCAGTGCGAGGGCTACCTGAAAATTACAATTTGGGGGGAGGTAATTTGAGACAGGACTGCTGTGTCCTGGAGAGAGTCATTGAATCACAGAGTGATTGGAAGGGACCTTAAAACCCATTCCATTCCACCCCCTGCCATGGGCAGGGACACCTCCCACTGTCCCAGGCTGCTCCAAGCCCCTGGCCTTGAACTCTTCCAGGGATGGGGCAGAAGCAGGAATAGATTAAGTTGGTGGTGCTGTTGAATGATTTTGGTGCTGTTCATTCAGTCCAGTTTCTTTGGGGAACTTTCCCTGTTCTTGTGCTGGGAAAATGAGGACAGGGAGATCTGGTAACTCCACTCCAAATCCTTCTTGTCTGCAGCTGAAATGGCTTATGCTACAACAGTACCTGCTGGTTTTAATGAAAATAAATTATGTTAGTATTTTGCTAATGCCTGGTCTAAGCTGACCCAGCTCTGTTTAACAGGATGTGCTGATTAATGGGACTGGAACATCTTGAACATTCGGGATGGCAGAGACCTGCAGGGATTAGAAATGACATTTAAGTGATTTTCTCTCGAATTTGACGCGTAACATGGAATGCGTTCCAGGTCTCTAAGAATGCAAGATGGGCAGAGAGGAACTTGGAGAGTGGTGATGCTGAGACACTTGGGCTGCAGAGAAACAGCCAATTAAAGGGGGTTTTTAATGAAGCACAGCAAGGGACTGTGTTCAGCAGTGCCTGCCCAGGCATTTTCCTGCACATCAGGGAAGTAACTTTAGAAAGCCCATCCCGAACAACTGTGCTGATGCTGGAAGTCTCAGACCTGGTTTTGTTTCTTGGAAAGGAACACTCAAATCCGAATGTGCTAAGAGCTCTTCCAGGAATAGCCAGCACTGGCTGAAATGCTGTGGCACACTGTGGCCAAAGGGTCCCTGTGCAAGGCAGGAGCAATCCCCATGGCAGCTCCCATGGCAGCTGCCAGCAGCCATCCCTCACCCCAGCGGTGCTGCAGGGCACCACTCCTTGGCAGCTGCTGCCAGAGCAGTTTGGGGTGAGCAGAGTCAGCTGGATCCCTGGGGATGGGCTGGAGCTGGCTGCTGCCAGCAGGGTGACCTCACCCCAGCGCTGGGTGATGCAGGAGGAGCTCCCCTGGGTGCCCAGGAGGACTGGGATGCTGGTTCTATATGTTTTATGGTGCAGGGAAGGGAGATCACCTGTGGCAGTGGGGTACTCTGCATGAGGACACAGCTGGGTTCAGTCTGGGTCAGTGGTGCTGGCTGGGAGCTCGTGCCAGTGGCACAGCACAATCCCTGAGACAGCCTGCCTGTAAAACAGGGTTGCTCAGGAATCCCAGAATGGTTTGAGGGGAAAGGAATCTCAAAGCCCATCCCATTCCACCCCCTGCCATGGGTAGGGACACCTTCCACTATCCCAGGTTTCTCCAAGGCCAGTGCAGCCTGGCCTTGGACACTTCCAAGGATGGGAAATACTGGCTGTTGCTTGGTATAGTGCCAAAAACACCCTGACCCCCCCAAAACTGAACTTGAGCAATTTCTGTCAGTGTATGGGTGGCTGGTTAGGTCACCATGGGTCTCAGGTGGGGTTTTTCCAAACCAGGGTATGGTTTCTGTACTTCCATATTTTGGGGGGCTGGGGTCAGAGCTTGCTGACTCTGTGGGTCATTTCCCCTCTGTTCTCTCTCCTTCCCTCTACTACACAGCTTCAAAATAATTGGGAATGCTGGATTTTTTTCCCCTGGGGCAGTATGGAGCTGCTTCTTGGTAATCTGCTGGAGGCTTGGGTAGAGTGGGAGTGGAATTGATTGTGTGGGTTTTTTTCCTTCCTGCTCCAAGACCACTTCTTGGCACTGAGGAATTTTTCTTTAGACTTCTTTGGGGAACAGATGCGTGAAGTACAGTTACCACTCATACATATGGCTTTTAAAATATGGAAGCTGTTGGACTGAAGTGGCTTCATATGGTGCTGTTGGAGGATGAGAATTAACATGGAATTTTGGGTTTCTGAGACATGAATGTGTCGTTGGAAAGTTGTTTAATTGTTTTTTTTTAAATAATGTTAAGTATTAATTTGCATCTTTATGGTTATTAATCAAAGTAACATTTACAACTCTGAAAATTACTCTCTCTGCAGCCCTTAATGCCTAAAATAGCATTGTAGTTTAATCTCAGGGATAAATAGGTTATATAATGTACAATTTAAATGGCTGTTAATCTTCATTTGCTAACGCAGACATCTTTTTCTTTAATTGCAGGTTCCCATTTTAAAAGCTATTGGAAGACACTCTGCCACCCTCTTGGATTACTTCCCATACGACTCAGCATGTCACTGTGCCCTGGATTTTATAAGGTGGCCATGATTTAATCCCCACTTCCCACTCCTATGTATTGGTGAAGCACTGGAGCTCTTTTGAGCTGCTGTTACTCCCGTGGGAACTGATCTGTCTCCAATCCCTTCTCCCAAGGACTAGACATTGCCAGCAATGAGCTCCCAAAGCCATCCAGGTAAGGGGAAGGCCACTTGGAGTCCCAGCAGCGACCCCAAAACACAGTTTGCTGCATGAACACACCTTTTAATTGTGCTGAAATGGTCATCCAGACCCCCTCCCTTTCGTTATTCTCTGAAACTTGGTGTGAAGGTGGAAAGTGCTGTAGGTGTTACCCAAGAGTTACAAGGAAGTTTTACTGTTTCAGACTTCTGATTGTTCTAAAATTTGGATTTCTAATCGTCGCATCGGTGAAAATTGGTATTTTCTGAGTCATTAACCAGATACTTAATTTGTTAAATCTGTGCTGATGAGCCTTAATGATATGGAGTGTATTTCCAAGGAACAGGCATGGTTCTGCTGGTGCCTTTGTTGATATTTAGGAAACCTGTTGGACTTTTTAACAGGAAGGAATAGTTTTGCTGGAACAAAAGTCAATTGATCCACCTCAATGCTGTCTGGGGGATTATCCCTAATGTGTCTTGTAATTTGAAGCATGATTCATCACTACCAAATTGTGCATTTCTGTCTGTCAGGAGAATTTGTAGCTGCTCAGTTACCTGCTTTCCAGCTTAAAGGTGCCTCACACATTTGTTTTTAGGGAGTCTGGGGCAACTTTTGTGTTAGTTAGAGCTTTGTTAGAGGAATTTTAATTGTGCTTGGGCTGTTTCAGTTTATAGTACAGAACTGGCTGCTGGGAAGCAAATAATCCAACAACAAGGCACGTGGAAGGATTTATTTCACTCTGCCTCTGAGAGATTACTCTGTGACTTCAGTTTAATCAGGTTGGGGTTAACAATTAAGGCTGAAGTGCTAAAAGCCAGAGAACAGCTCCTAAGATTTAAGGAACCGCTTGTTTGTGGGGGAAGAAATCCTGCAGTAAATAGGGGAGCTGGAGTCTCCAGGCAGCAGGGGGAGATCTGACCTTCTCACAACTGAAATGAGTTTATGAGTCTCTAAAATCATCAGAATTATCAAAAAGAAAAAAAACAAGCCTGGCCTCTGCTTCTATAATGTAGCAGTCTTTAGATTTTGAAATTTGTTGGTACTATGAGGAGTTGAGAAATGTGTGTTTGTATGAATGCAGGTGTTCACTGGAGACACAAATGCAGAATGATGTTTTTCAGAAGCTCTGTTCTTTAGATAGCAGGTAATTGTTGTTTCAGTGTTTCCATGACTCAGGAGTGAGGCTGGGCAGCTGTGGCCATCTGCTTTTCTCTCATTGTGGTGGTGGGACACCTTAAACACCCACCTCAGTCCAAACCCAATTGTGGGCTTCTTAAGGAGCTGCTCTCCAAAGGTTTGGGAAGTGGTGATGTCCTTCCTGGTTGGGCTATTATGCAGTGGAAGCCTGATGCAGGTTTGCCTTCCCGCCTTTCATAATTCATCACTGAACACTTGTTTCTCCTGCCTCTTTCTGCTGCTTTGGTGTTCAGCATTCCTGTCAGTCCAAAAATCAGCTTGAGCTTTGTTTTTCTAGCAGCCCTGTCTAGAATGGTGCTGAGAAGGGTAGTCTGATCAAAACCCAGGGTGTGGCAGCTGAGCAGGATGCTGTTGGATACCCACCTTGTGCCCTTCCTGGGTGCTGGGTTCTTACTCTGGTTGGACTTCCAAGGGCTGGGTTGGAATTCTGCAGTGTTTCGTGGTGGCTTTTCACCCCCGGTGTTCTTACTGCTCGTTTCTCTTGCAAGAATCAGTTGTATAATACGGAGCAGAAATATTTCTCAAGCCTTGCCAAAGATGACATCTGGACTTTTCATGTCAGTTATCATAGCCATGTTGATTATACAGCTACAGGTAATTATTCCTAATGATGGGCATTGTTTAAGGGAAGGCTCTGGCTTAACTCAAGAGCCTATTAAGCCTTGCTTCAGTAGGTTCAAGCTTTCTTCTCTAATCTTCTCCAAGGCCAGCACTAATGGGATGTTTTAGGAGCCGTGCCATGAAATTGTTGCGGCATAGATGAATGGAAGTGCTTTGGGTTGGGTTTTTTCTGTGCTTTTTTTGATTTTTCATTTCACTCTGCAAAGCTTTTCTGAGAAGTGTTGGGCACCGAGGCCCTCTCGCTGAACAAGGTGGAAAAATACGGAGAAGATTTAAGTTAGCTAAGAAAAGTGTGACTTCTTCCCCATCACTGCCTCTTCTTTTGTGGTGTTTTGGACTCAGATTCTGTAGGGAATAAGAAACAGCTTTTGGAGAAGAAGAATACCCAGGTGGGAGGAAACTTCCTGGGAGGCATCACGTGGCCTTTGGCTTTTGGCAGAGGAGTCACTGCCTCTTCCAGCGCTGGAACAAAGCTGGAAAAAAAGACGCTGGAATTGTGCTGTGAAGGCTCAAGTTGCTGCGAAGTATAATTAAGACAATTAGGCTAATTAAGATAACATTTAGGATTATGACAAAGCTTGGGGGGGGCGGGGGAAAGCATGTTTAGTTTCACTCCTTAACCTGTTCACATTGGCCACAATTTAAGCTTGCCTTACATAACCCGTGGTGCTCACCTTACCCAGGCTGACTGGGTTGTGAGTAGGTGTGGGGTGTTTTTATAGGGTTTTTTAATGTTTTGGGGTTTTCCCCCCTCTTTTATTTACCTTAAATGATTCCTTGCAGTTGCCTTCTACCTCCCCCCTTAATTTTCAGTGGCTTGAGTTTCACTATCGTTCGCTTCTTTAATCAGTAAAGATTGTTCTGCTGATACTAGTTATACATAAAGATTAGTTTTAAAAAACCAAAACACTTAAAGTTAATCACTCAACTGATTTGTATTTGTTTAAAGTTCACTTTCCTTTGTAAAAGCTGAAAATCTCCATGTTCAATGAAGCATTTTGTTTATGAAATGTTATCCTGCAGGAATTAACCAGTCTGAATGCAAATGCTCCATCCTTTCTTCAGAGCCACTCTTGCAGAGATGCAAATTTCAGCTACATTTTGCAGTGCTGAATGTTTGATAATTAGGAATATTGAAGTTTGGAGAATGAGCTGCCTGGCTGATAGGGGAAAATCTGCAGCAGGGATCATTAGGGCTGAGAGGAGCTCCTGGAGGAAGCAGAGAGCTCCAGGATCACATGGCACCGGGAGAACGAGTTGGGGAGTCACGTACTGTGATGTGCTGGGCAGATAAGGACTTCTGTACGGGGCTTTATCTGCAGCCAGCCACTCTCCTGCCCTGCTCAACAGCTCAGTGAGGCATGGAAAGCCATTTCATGCAGCACACACAGAAAAGCTCTCCCCATGAGCATCTCCCAATGTTTGCACCGCCCGATAAATATTTGATGCGTTCTCTTTTTAAAGATTAAGAAGTTTCTGTGGAGATGCATTTCAAGGCGGCTTTAAATGACACTGACCTACTTTCTGGCAGCAGTGAGGCTGTCTGGGGAAGTTATCTGGGGGCAGGAGCATTATTTCAAATAAACACAAGGACTGGGAGGGGTAAGCTCCAGCCCTCCTCTAGCAGGGCTGGGCCATGGTGGGTACTTGGTGGCTGTGGAAGAACATCTGGACATGGTGTATCACGGAGTCATGGAATGGTTTGGGTGGGAAGGGGCTAAGCCCACTCCATCCACAGGCAGAGACACTTTCCAGTATCCCAAGCTGCTCCAAGCCCCATCCAAGCCGGCCTGGGACACTTACAGGGAGACCTGCTGCCCCTTACCAGTCTGGTGCTCTGGTTTTACTGGATTACTCTAGACTGGGAATTCAGAGGCTGTTCCCCATAGCAACCTGATCCCCCAGTTTTGCGGGGGACTTTGGGGTTGGCTGTGGGGTAAACTCAGCAATTAGCTCTGGTTAGAAGAGCTAAAAACTCCAACAGATGGAACTGGCCATGTCTCCATTCACTTTCCTTTCTCCAGCCCACAACAGGACACCTTTTCCACCTTCTTTCCTGTTCTTACCCATGTGGGAGCTGAGCCTGTCCTGGATTTCCTCTAGGAATGGTGTCATTTTGAGGTCCTTGAAAGTTTTAAGTCTGCTCCCACTAAACCTGTGAAGTTTTCACTTTCTGGAGCATCAAATAGTTGTGACTTTCTGTGCAAGGGTTTGATTGTACCCTCAAAAGAGAAGAATTTTTGCTTCAACTTGGGGTTCAAGCTGAAGTTCCTGCTAGGTCAGTGTCCCTGCCAAGTACATTCCTCTCATTTCTGCTTTTTCTTTAAATGCAGTTCTTGCACTTAGGAATTCTTTAAAAGCCTGTTTCTAAAGTAAGTTTTTTAGCCTGTGATGCTTCCTGCAGTGCGAAAGATGAGAAGCAGGTACTTGTGATGAGAGGCTGAGAACTCTGGATTATTTTGAATGAAGTACAGGGTAGGGAAAGGATATAAAAAAGGTTGGACTTTTAAAGTCAGGTGATTCTATAATAATGTTTGAGATAGTCCTTGGGATCTTGTGCCCCACTTGAAAAGGAGACAAACCTTTTTCTACATTTTTGTTACTCACTTTTGGTCAACCCTAGTTTGCCCTGTGTCTCATACTTCCCCAAATTCAATTTGTTACCGGAAGAGTGCAATGATGTTTCTTCTTTTAGTGTAGTGTTTAGTACATCTTTTTCATCCTCTGACATCTGTAGAAATTGCCTTTACAGTCAGAGGATGGCTGCGAGTGAGTGAATGTGGAGTAGCAGGTGCCTGACTGGAGAACGAACAATTGTGGAATTGGTAATTCTCCCATCTTTCAGTAAAGGTTTTGCCGGTCCCTTTCTCCTTGTAGCTTGCCATGTACCAGGAATTCCCCCCCCCTCCACTTTTATTTCTTTATTTTATTATTTCTATTTAGGCCGTTAAACAGGGAAGGCTTTGACACCTGCACCCTTTGAGCTGCCAGGTGGAGTGGTCAAACCACTGAGAAATGGGGCACACAATTTATTCTTCCACTAAGAAAACTAAAATTGATACGTCAGCAGGCCTTTTAAAGGTTTTGTTTCCATAACCAAAATCAAAGTAGTGTTGTTTCATCAGTTACTGGGAAAATCTAAAGATGCTTTACCTGCAGTGCCCTGGCTTGCTTTGAGGTGCTCAGCAGCTCTTG